GGGTGGCTCATTCAGTTAAGCGTCTGCCTTCGGCTCAGGTCACGATCCCAGGGTCCTGGGATCGAGTCCCGCATCGGGCTCCCTGCTCAGCAAGAAGCCTGCTTCTCACTCCCCCTGCTTGTGTTCCCTCTCTCGCTGTCTCTCTATCTGTTAAATAAATAAATAAAAATCTTAAAAAAAAAAAAAATGAAGGAGCCCAGAGATCCAGTGATCTTGCTAAGACATTTGCTCCATGACTGACAGTGATGATGTCCCATCTGAAGCTCACTTGTGAGCAGTTTTCACATTGATGGGTTTGTTACATACCTTCTGACACAAGTACATCCTGTACGCCTACTTCTCAGAAGTCGCTGTTCCTGTCTTCCTGGGGGGGGTCCATTTCTGCCCCGATACTGATTGTCCCCCAGGGTCCAAAATAAGGCCCAAACCCATAGGATGAAATAGATTTATTTATTTATTTAAACAATTGATTCATTGGAACTAAAGCTGCTGGTGTAAAAAAAAAAGTGCAATGAATATGCATTCAACATGGAGTAAATGTTAAATACACAGAAGAGCTTACAGTTGAGTTGGGGAGAGATTGTAAACAAACAAATAATTGGTATGTATACAAGAAGGTGACTAATAGCATGAGGTAACAGTTTTTAAGTGTCAAATGTAGTGACCTGGTAAAGGCCTTGCAACTGTTAAATAGTTTTCCTGAAGGCCTCCTCGTGAGGAGATATTTGAGTAGAATCTTAAGAATGTGAGGGATTCAAAGGCTTTAGCATGGGTTTCCTCCCGGATTGGAAAGAGGCCAGCGTGGGCTGGGGCGGAGTAGGCAGGGAGGAGGAATGTGTCATGTAGCCTGACTGGTGGTGATGACGACCAGCTCACGCTGGACGACGTGTATTTGAGCACAGGGGTGACGGGACTGGTGTCTGCTCTGAGGAGCACTCTAGTCAGCGACGTGAGAACGGTGATGGCAGGACACTGAGAAAGGGCAGTGATAGCTTCAGGGAGAACCATTATCCAGAATCCACGCAGGAGACGCAGGTGGCTCCTGCCAGGGGGATGGCAGTGGAAATGGTTGGGACTAATTTGAAGAAAACACTCAGTGTCTTCTGATGAGCTAATGAGACCAGGAGCAATTTAATAAAAGTGGTCCTATGTTACAAAATGACTTTTTTTAAAATGACTTTTTAAAAATATTACTTTCTAGAAACATATTTACCAGAGAGCTAGAGCTCTTGGAGAGAGGGTCATGAATGGGGTGTTTTTTTGGGGGGGGGGGCAGGCACAGATTTAGCCCTGTATTCTAAGGAGTTGCTGAAGCAGGAACTCTCAATATAGAGTTATGGGGAGGGAGCATTGCAATATTTCTGATCTCCCCAGGTCTCTCCATGTCAAAAACAGGTCCGACTTCCCCAGGGGCAGTTCCTGGCCCAGGAAACCAAGAGAAATGTCTAGAATGCTGTCTAAAACTTCAAAGAATATCCTTCCCTGCACGCCACTTCCTGGAGACACTTTTATTTTACTATGTGACCTGCAGAGAGGCATAGAGTTGCATTTTCAGGAGTCCTGATGTTAGGAGAAAACTCAAGTGTAGGATATTTGTGGCCGCCAGTTGACCTGGGACTCCCATCAGGCAGATACTACTTGTATTCCCTTCCTACCTTCCTGATCACTGCTGGGCTCTCAGGTCAGTCTTGGGCATTGGTGGGGTCACTGCCCATGTGTGGGGACTCTGCCTCCTTTGTACCTTCCTCCTTCTGTGGCCAGTGTGGTGGCAGCTGCTTTAACATCAACTTCTTGTAGCCCCACTGTGAACATGAGGTTTATAACCCCATAATAGGATGCATGGTCCACTTCCCCATAGACTTGAGATGTTTCTCAGCATTGGTTGGATACTGAATAGAATGAAAGATAACAGAGAACCCCATGCCTATGGTTGGCTTATAGCTTCAGTTGTGAGCAGGGGTGGATATTATCATGTCCTGTAAACCCCTGGTCCTGCCAGTCATTAAAGCCTGATCTGACCATAGGACAATTTTCAATATCTGTACCATTGGCTAGATCACATTGATCAGCCCACATTCAGCTTTATCTTTCACCAGGTTCACTTACTGGATGATTGGAGAAGTGAGCATATTTCTAGACCTAAATTTATCTCCATACAGCTTTCATCATGCCCCTATTTTCTCTTTTTAGAGCAAAGGGAAGATTATAGTTTGTTACGGACCTCAGTTCTTTCTTCATCGGACCTTTTCAACTGTGTTACTTCCCTAAGGTTTTATAACCAATTATGGCTTAAAACCACAGGAATTTATTCTCCCACAGTTCAGGAGGCCAGAAGTCCAAAGTCAAGGTGTTGGCAGAATTGGTTTCTTCCGGAGGTACTGAGGGAGAGTCTGTTCCGTGTTTCTCTCCTAGCTTCTGGTGGTTTCCGGCAGTCCTTGGCATGCCTTGCCTGGTTGCTGCACTGCTCCAGTCTCTGCTACCATTGGCACATGGCCTTCTCCCCTGTATGTGGTGCACCCTCTCCTCTTCTTAAAGGACACTGGTCATTGGATTGAGAGCCCACCTATTCCAGTGTTATCTCATCTTAACTTGATTACATCTGCAAAGAGCTTATTTCCAAACAAGGTCACATTCACAAGGCGATGTCCATGGGGGGGATAGAGTTCAATCATTGAAAACAAGTATCATGATTAATATCTACTGAGATCTTCCTTTTTTTTTTTTGCCTCACAGTTCCTTGTCCCTGATGAGTCCGGGTTCTGAGGATCAGCAGCATCTCCGTGCTGCCACCCTGTGATATGCCTTCTGACTGACCACCAGGAATAATTTTAGGTTTGGTTTGTCATTCCCACTCATGTGACTTAGCAGGACAGAAACCAGTCAGGTTCACGGAGCTTAGCTGGGGCCTGCAGGACAGGAGATGCCACGCAGCAGCATGGCTGCCTCACGTGAGCTCCCAGGGAGGGTCCATACAGTGGTATAGGAGGGACGTTATCTCCTTCATCTGGTCGTTTGTAAGAGAACAAGACCACGTGGTATGTATGAAACTAACACAGCTTAGGTAAGTCTTGGGCCGGTAGACTGATTACCTTGTAAGAGCCATGAACATAGCTTCTAGCACCCTACTGGCAAATATTTCATTACACGAGTCACAACCCACTTGTGGAAGCGGAGGTCTGTGCTTACCGAAAATAATAAAAATAAAACAGAGTGCTAGGAGACAGTAATATCCATGTCCTTTTCATGGGAAGAAAGGACTTAAGCCTGATGATGACCCTTTGTTCCCGTACATCCAACCTAACTCCCAATCCTGTCCCTTTTATGTTACCGTCTCTCTCAGCCTCGTCTGTTTCTCATTCCCTCCAGCAGCCTGTCCTACAAACTCCCAACACTGATCCCTGCTCTTTGGAGAGAGGCTGTCTCTTTTACATCATTTAGGAAGTGTCACATTTTTGGTCCCTGCTGGCCTATTAATGCCAAAAGCCTAGCAGCTCTCTGCATACCAGCCATACGGGTATTTTAAGATCTGTAGAAGATGTTGTGTCTTCCATCAACAGGACATTCATATATGTGACCTCTTCTCTCTAAAACATATTTTTCCTCTTTCTCATTCCATATCCCTTCTCACAACTTTTAGTTCAATCCTTACTTATTCAAGGGGGATATCTTTGATATTCTCCTATTTGGCAAATTATTAGTTCCTCCAAAACAGGGACCCCTGGGTGGTAGTGTTTATCACACCTACCAGACCTCTGAAAAAGGATCCTGTGGACACTGTATTCACCCTAATTCAACTTACTGAATGAAATAATCTTTATAAGCTACTTCATTCAATTTACACACTTCAATAAAGTACTCTATTTCCCAAGGACTTTTGTATAAAGAATAAATAGGTCAAAGTGATTTATAAATTGTAACTAGTTCTACAATTCTTAGTGGTAAAATTCCTTCCCTACTGTGGCATTTGTTTCTGTGAGTGTCTCTGGGAGTGAATATGAGAGAATGGAAGGGTTCTGTATGGGACAGGTATATGTGGAGGTAAGCATTTCTTATGTTGAAACTGTATCTGTGGTCCCAACGTTTACCTATTGGAGAACAAATAATTAATGGAACAAAAAGATGAAATGCTGATAAAAAAGAGGTCTAATCACCTATGGAGAAATGAGGAGGTTCTTTATATATTCATCAAAGGTTGTGTTCCTGTGCATTCTAGCACTAGGGATACAGGAGTGAATAAATACAAAGTGCCTAATCTATGTGTGGATTGTATTTTAGGAGTAGGGTATTTAAGGAAAAGATATCGTATATTATATAGTGATAATAAGAAAAGGATGACTAATGTGTAGTGAATGATATATTGGTAATTGTGCTATAGATAAAGTAATCATTGGGTCCTTCTGATGAAATGATATTTAAGGAGAGAGTTGGATGAAGTATAAGAGGAAGTCATGCAAATATCCAGGGGTGGATCATTCCAGGCTTAAAGAAGAGCAAATGCGGAAGCCTGAGGCATTAGCAGTTTAGCCAGGCCACTGAATTTTATTTCTGTTTTTTTTTTTCTCTCTTCTTTTTTGTCCTTCAACATTTCAGTTTTGACCAATCCTTAATATCTGTACAATTAAAATCCTTTTTACTCCTGCCATTCTTACCTCATCCCCTTTCAATCTGCCCAGCCATCCAGGAACATTTAAGCAAGAAGAGCTCCAGGAGTTAGGACAGGAAGAAGCCAGGGGAGATGTACTAAGGCTTTAAAAATCCTGAACATACAAGATGAGGTGTCCTGTCCCATCTGCCTGAAGCTTTTGACAGAATCCCTGACTCTAGACTGTGGCCACAGCTTCTGTCAAGCCTGCATCACTGTGGACACCAAGGAGTCAGAGATCAGCCCAGGAGAGGAAAGCAGCTGTCCTGTGTGTGGTATCAGATACTCACTTGGAAACCTATGTCCTGATCAGCATCTGGTCAACATAATGGAGAGAATCAGAGAGTTCAAGTTGAACCCAGAGAAGGAGCTGAAGAGAAACCTCTGTGTGCGCCATGAAGAGAAACTCCTGCTCTTCTGTAAGGAGGATAGGAAGGTCATTTGTTGGCTTTGTGAGCGGTCTCAGGAGCACCATGGTCACCACACATACCTCGTGGAGGAAGTAGTCAAGGAATGTCAGGTAGGGCCCAGGATGGAGGGAGAAAAGGAGGAAGATGGTACTTGGTGGGAAATCTCACCTTTCCATCCTTCTGTACACAGCTTGGCACCATGGTACTGAGCCCTGTAATCTCTTTTCATGTATGTCTCTTACACTATGCTCAGCTTCCAATGCCTGAAGGACATTTCTGTGTATTCTTTCCACATACATAAAGAATGAGCCTTGGGGTGCCTGTATGGCTCAGTCAGTTAAGCCTCCACCTCTTGGTTTCAGCTTGGCTTGTGATCTCAGGGTCATGAGATCCAGCCCCACATGGGGCTCCAGGCTCAATGGGGAGTCTGCTTCCCCTTTCTCTCTTCCTCTGCCCCTTCCCCCCACTCTCTCTCAAATAAAGAAATCCTAAAAAAGGGGGGGAATGAGCCTAGAGTCTAGAGCCTAGACTCTTGGCCAAGAGTGAGAGGTTTTCCTTTTTTTTTTTTCCCTTTTGTTATATGAGTGGAGAGCTTGGCTCTCATTGTTCCCCTCAGCAGGATGGTTGCTCTTCAACATTGTGGATTGGATGTGGAAAGAGTGTCAGTAAGAGTATAGGATTTTTCTTGGGACTGCAGAATCAATCCTCTATGAAAAGAGAGAATTAGGCTACTCTTGGTGAGGGATGGTGACACCCAGGAACAAAGGATGTATTCTCCTTAGGTTTTCTCCTGTATCATAGATTCTAATCACAATTTCTGTAAACTGGTCTCTTCAGGGATCAGCCTGATTTCTTCCCCATTTATTCTTTGCTGCGAAAGTTCGGAGATTGTTGATGAGTCCTGATGTGAGTCATCTGATGTGAGTCATCTGATGTGACTTCTCTTTCACAGGAGAAACTTCAGGCAGCTCTGGAGAGGCTCAGGAAGGAGCAGCAGAAAGCTGAGAAGTTGGAAGCTGACATCAGAGAAGAGAGGACTTCCTGGAAGGTAGGAAGAGACTTTCTAAGGGGTTTTTGACACAGGAATCTTGGCAGGACCTTCAGTCCAAATCACAAGGAAGCCCCTTCCTCTTTGTTCCCTGACACAGAATGCGTCCAGAAGCCATTTGATTAGTTCTCCTCTTTGTCCTGTCTCTGTTACATTGAGGGCTGGAGAGTGGACACACAGGTATTTGGAATTGAGAATAAAGACAGACTCTTCAGTGAGGAAGGATGGAAAATTCTGTCTTCCATTCCTCTTTTCCAATGAGACTCTGACACCTCCAGTGAAAGACACTGGGCAAAGGACCAGGATTTTCCCCAAGGTTCAAACTTGGAAGTGTGGTAATGCAGGGAGGTGTGAGTGTCCAATACAGCCATCTACAACCTAAACCTCACTTAGGTTTTACATTTCATCCCAGGGTTGGCCTAGATAAGACAGTCTGAGGCCTGTTTACTAAAGGGAAAATAGTAGGAAAAATACCCAGCTTTCCCAAAAATTGCCCCCGTGCCTCCATTTCCCTCTTGGTTAGAACTCAGTGAAAAAATATTTCTTTTTGGGGCGCCTGGGTGGCTCAGTCGTTAAGCGTCTGCCTTCGGCTCAGGTCATGATCCCAGGGTCCTGGGATCGAGCCCCGCATCGGGCTTCCTGCTCGGCAGGAAGCCTGCTTCTCCCTCTCCCACTCCGCCTGCTGGTGTTCCCTCTCTCGCTGTGTCTCTCTCTGTCAAATAAATAAATAAAATCTTTAAAAAAAAAAAAATTTCTTTTCTTGGCTCCTAATCCCTTATACAGTAGGTTTTCAGGCAGATAGACTCTTTACCTCTTTTGTTTGTCCAACCTTGAAGTACCAGATACAGACTGAGAGACAAAGGATATGGACGGAATTCAATCAGCTTAGAAGCATCCTGGACAGTGAAGAGCAGAGAGAACTGCAAAAATTGGAAGAAGAGGAGAAGAGGATACTGGATAGCTTGGCTGAGGCTGAGGTTGAGCTGGCTCAGCAGAACCAATTGGTGAAAGAGCTCATCTCTGATCTGGAGCATCGCCGTAAATGGTCAACAGTGGACCTGCTGCAGGTAAGAGGAATGCCCCAATCTGGAATTCTTGAAACACAGTCTAAGCTACCTTCTTTTCTGTGTCCTTGGGCTCTAATCTTGGTGTTAACACTAAGAGGTTCCTTTGGCTTTGTGGAGCCATTCTTTGTCATCCATTCAAGATATCATGGACCATCGAATATAAGCATTCCAGGGGAGTGTCCTACTTTATTATTTTATGAAGTAAGGGAATACATTTGACCTTGGAGAGAAGATCCATGGTATCCAGTGATATTCTCTAGACCCCTATTATCTGTGATCCAGTGTTGGATAATTTTCAAGTTCTTTTCATTCATCTTAGCCATAGGCAAATACATGCATTTTCAGGTATAAGAAATTTATCCCTTTTTTTTAATTAAAAAAAATCTGTATTAGATTTTTTTTTTAAACATGAAGAGATAGAACATTGAGCCTTTTGTTAGGAGGATGGGCAAATATATGGATAGGAGGTATTATACTTGAGTGGTAAGAGTCTGTGTGTAAGTGTGTATGTGAGTGTGTGTGTGCCAGAAACGTTGCTGGTGTCAGGAAAACATGCTGGTGCAAATCTATAGACACTTGAGGCAACAGTTCGAACTAATGTTAAAATTTAAACAGTTTTTTTTTTTTGAAGCATTAATACTGTGACTGTGATTCTGAGCCATGATGTATGATGGTCATTCAGGGAATTCCAGACTTTTCATAGTTTTTACCTGATTCCCTATCTTCTTCCTTTTCTTTTCTGGATTTCCAAACACTTTTTTTTTTTTTTTAATTCTTGATATCAAGCAGAAGGATAATTGATTTTTACATGTTGGCTTGTTTCCTTTGTCTCTGATGCTTGTATCTTAGTTTTTTCCTTTTTTCTTTTTTTTCAGTTCCCTTGACTTTTTTCTTCTTTTTTGATTTCAGATTACTCTGGGGCAGAGGTCACAAAATCTTCTTTTTTTTGTATTGGAATCACCTGGAGTGCTATAAAAACCTTAGGTCCTCAGACCCATTGTAGTAACAGATTTTGCATTTTTTAAAAACCAGGATCTCTAAGTGATTATACCACCAAACAAATTTTAATAAAAACTACAATAGGTCTTTTCAACAAATTGGGCTGGGAAAAACAGAATATCCACATGCCAAAAAATGAAGGTAGACTCCTACTTCACACCATATACAAAAATTAACTCAAAGTAGATCAAAAATCTAAATGTAAGTAAAAAGGCAAAAATTATAAGACTCCTAGGAGAAAGCATAGGTATAAATCTTTGTGACTTGGGATTAGGCAATAACTTCACAGATACGGCACCAAAAACAGAAGCAACCAAAAATAAAATAAATTGGAGCTCATCAAAATTGAAAACTGTTGTGCTTCAAAGGACACCATGTAAAAGTGAAAAAACATCTCACAGAATGGGAGAAAATATTTTTAAATCATATATCTGATAAGGTTTAGTATTCGTGATATAGGGAAAACCTTTTACAACTCAACAATAAAAAGACAACCTGGGGCACCTGGTGGCTCAGTCAGTTAAGCATCTGACTCTTGATTTCAGCTCAGGTAATGATCTCAGGGTCCTGGGATCCAGCCCCTCATCTGGCTCTGTGCTCAGCGCAGAGTTGGCTTGTCCCTCTCCCTCTGCTCCTCCCCCACCCTCTCCTCCTGACTTGTGCGTGCACTCTCTCTCTCAAATAAATAAATAAATCTTTAAAAAAAACAATAAAAAGACAACCTAATTTAAAAATGGATAAAGGACTTGAGGGGTGCCTGGGTAGCTCAGGCAGGTAAGCATCCACTTGTGATTTCGGCTCAGGTCATGATCTCATGGGTCAGAAGATTAAGCCCTGAGTCAGGCTCCACACTCAGCGTGGATTCTGCTTGGGATTCTCTCCCCACTCACTTGCTCTCTCTGTCTCAAATAAATAAATAAATCTTTTTTAAAAAGGGCCTTAAATAGATATTTCTCCAGAGAAGATATATAAATAGTAAATAAGCACATGAAAAGATGACTGATATCTTTAGCCATCGGGGAAAGGTAAAACCAAAACCAAAAAAAATGGACAATACCAAGAGTTGACAAAGATGTGCAGAAATTGGAACTTTCATATATTGCTAGTGAAGTTGTAAAATGGTGAAGCTATTTTGGAAAACTGCTTGGCAGTTCCTCAAAAAGTTGATAGAGTTACCATATGGCCCAGAAATTCCATTCCTGGAAATGAAAACATGTCCACACATAAACTTGTATACAAAAGCTCATGGCAGCATTGTTCATAATAGCTCAAAAGTGGAAACAACCCAATTCTCCATTAACTGAAGAAGGAATAAACACAATGTGTTATACCCAAACAATGTAATATTATTCGGCTGTAAAAGGAAATTAGCACTAATAGATGCTACCACATGGATGAACCTTGAAAATATAAGTGAAAGAAGACAGACACAAAAAGGCCCTTATTGTATTATTCCATTTATATGAAGTCTGTAATTGATAAATCCATAGACACAGACATTATATTAGTAGTTGCCAGAGACTGGAGAGGAGGCAATAGGAAATGATTGCTACTGAGAGTAAGGTTTGTTTTTGCAATAAAGAAAATGTTCTGGAATTAAATAGTGGTGATGGTAAATATACATAGTAAATATACTAAAATCTACTAAATTGTGCACTATAAAAGGTGATTTTTTTTGGTATTTTGTTATATCTGAGTAAAAACAAAAACTTTGCAGGCTTATTCCTTTTCCCTTGTTTATAGTTCATCCACAAGCTCTTCACAACTCTTTCTATTGCCAACTTCACAAAGACTCTTGTGTTTATGTCACTTTTCCAGGCGTCTGTTCTTAAGCCAGCTTAAGTTGGTACCTGGTTACTTGTAATAAAAACAGTGCTCAGTAGATAAATGTTATACATTTTGTGGGATTAACTTCCCACATTTAGATAACAGCTTCAAAGAATGACAAATGGGCTAACCAAGGAACTTACTCTTTTACTAGATTAGGGAGTTTGGATGTTCCTTTCCAACATGTTGAAATATATGCTATTGATTGTGGTGCTGTCCCTTCATAATCCTGTTTCCTGAAAGTTCTTAAACAGCTTTTCTTTTGTCTGGATCTTCATTGTAGTGATTTGGATGGGTCATTTCATTATATGCCTATTGTTTGCTAGAGGGGCTTTTGTTTGCTTGAGGGCTACACTCAAAACTAACTGGGAAGAATGAGCTAACAGAGAAATGCCAAACTTGAGAATGGATGAAAATTTAGATGAGACTTAGAAAGGAGGCACTTCTGTTCTTAATGTTTTTGTAATAGTATTATTACATTGGGCCATTTTTGTTTTTCAAATTTTGTAGCATGACACATGAGTGAATGACAATAGGGAGTTAAATGATGGAGTGAACATGGCACCTATTGTTTTTATCTGTTCAGTATCCATTGCCCCTTTTCCTGGTAACAACACCTGGGATTTCTTTCTGAAGAAACACAGCATGTCTATTTTTATCCATGTACTTGTTTGGGGCTAAGATAATCAGCATCATGGAGAATGCATAGGTTAATCTTAGGTAAAGTAGTTTATCTAATTCCTGTATTTCCAGACTACACAGTTGGGCATTAGAAGTTGGGCATATGACCCAATTTTGGTCAGTGGCTCTAGGCATCAGAATTGTATTGTCACTTCATTGAAGAAAATTGTCCTTTTACATGTGAATTATATCAGTGAAAATAATTTAAACCAGGAGATTTCAAGTTGCTATCAATTAAAGTCTGAGAATAAAGTCAACAGACAGGGAAGAAAAGAGAATTATGAGACACAGAAAAGCCACATATATGATAGCATTTGAGCTTCCATATCCACCTGTGACTGAAATAGTATTTCTCTGGCCACATGGTTTTTTTTGGGGGGGGAGGGGTGGCAAGTGGGGGGTAGTTTAAGGCAATGTTAGTTGGCTTCTTTGTCATATACAACCAAACTACACTAATACAGGGAAGCAAAACCATTCCTTTGTTTTGGTTAACCCAGCTGGTGGCATTTAAGAGTAAGGCCAAATATATTGGTATATATCGTTGAAAACAAATAAATCCATAGTCGTGATGATGTGGAAATGCAGATTAGCCAAAAGTTAAGGATGTGGAATGGACTGGCTTAGTAGGGTGTTTTAGTGTTTGGGACAGGGACTAAGTGAATATTGGTAACGTATTTGACAAGTGGACATAAGAGAGGACACAATATAGTGGGTGAATAGTAGGTTATATTTTAGATATTCTGGGCTTTTGGTTAGTGTTTCTTCTTCTTTGTTTATTTATTAGCCTGTATACATGACTAGAGACCATAGATCATGATTAGATTATATAAAGTTTGGGAGCAACAGCACCTGCATGTGAGCTGAAATTTAAGAAGTGGAAGAGGTTACGTAAAGGCAGTGTATGGAGCAGAACTTTGCTATATATAAACTATGTATTCTGCAAATAGAGATAGTTTTACTTCTTTCCAATATAAATGCTTTTTATTTCTTTTTCTTGCCTAATTGCCTTGACTGGAACCTCTAGTACCACTTATTTATTTTTTTTAAAGCTTTTATTTATTTATTTGACAGAGAGAGAGAGCACAGGCAGGGGGAGTGGCAGGCAGAGGCAGAGGGAGAAGCAAGCTCCCCTCAGAGCAGGGGGAGCCTGATGTGGGACTAGATCCCAGGACCCTGGGATCATGACCTGAGCCGAAGGCAGTCGCTTAACCAACTGAGCCACCCAGGCGCCCTCTAGTACCACTTTAAATAGAAGTAGTAGGAGTAGACATTCTTGTCTTGTACCTAAGCTCAGGGAAAAATCATTAGGTTTTTCATCATAAGGATGATGTTAGCTACGAGTTTTTCATAGATGCCCTTTATCAGGCTAAGGAAGTTCCCCTCTATCCCTGGTGGGTTGTTATTATTCCTTTTTTGAATTGTTTTTATCATGAAGGGATGTTGAATTTTGTCAAATTTTTCCCCTGTGTCTATTAATATCATCACGTGGTTTTTACCTTTATTCTATTAATAACAATGAATTACATTAATTGCTTTTCTTATGTTAAACCAACCTTACATTTCTGTGATAAATCCCATTTGACCATGGTGTATATATACTCTTTCATATTTTGCTGAATTCAGTTTTTTAATATTTTGTTGAAGTTTACATCTATATTCATAAGAAATACTGGCCTGTAGTTCACTTTTCTTGTGATGCCTTTGTCTAGTTTTAGCATCAGAGTAGTACTGGCCTCATAGAATGAGTCAGGTATTGTAACCTCCCTTTCTATTTTTTGGAAGAATTTGTAAAGTGTTTCTATTATTTCCTCTTTAAACCTTTAGCAGAATTCACCAGTGAAGCCATCTGGACCTGACTTCTTTGCAGGAAGTTCTTGATTTCCAATCTAATCACTACATGTTTTAGGACTATTCAGATTTTCTATTACTTCTTGAATCAGTATTGGTAGTTTCTGTGTTTCTAGGAATTTGTCCATTTCATGTGGATTATCTAATTTGTTGGCCTACAATTGCTCACAGTCTTTATATTCCTATTAATTTTTGTAAAAGTCGGCAGTAATGTCTTCCCTTTAATTCCTGATTTTAAGATTTTTTAAAATTTATTTTTGAAAGAGAGGGAGAGAGAGAGAGGGAGAGAAAGAGAGAGAGCATGCAAGCAGGGGGAAGGACAAAGGGAGAAGCAGACTCAGACTCCCCGTTGAGCAAGGAGCCTGAGGCGGGACTCGATCCTAGGACCCTGGGATCATGACCTGAGCCGAAGGCAGACACTTAACCAACTGAGGCACCCAGGTGCCCTCATTCCTGATTTTAATAATTTGTCTTCTCTGTTTTTTTCATGGTATGTCTGCATAAAAACTTGTCAATTTTGTTGATATTTTCAATTAGTTCACTTTTGATTTCTCTGATGTTCTCTAGTGTTTTTCTATTCTTTCTTTCATTAATCCTGCTCTAATCTTTATATACTCCTTGACTCATGTTTTCTCTCTTCTTCCTAGGACATGAGTGGAATCATGAAATGGTATGTATGATAGGTGACCAGGAATGGTGCTTTTATGTTATGAAGAAAGGTTTGTAGCCATAAGAGTGTTCTGATGGTCAATTAGAATGAAAAATATTCCAAATCAGGGAAATTTGGATGTAGTATTATTTTAAATTTCTGATCATTGACAAAGGATTTAAGTGTTCCCTATCTAAGGAGAATAGACCAGATTCTATGGCAGTGAATTCAGTGGTTGGAGTTCACAAAATTAGGGATGGTAAAGGTAATAAGGATCACGGATTTCACTATTCGACTCTTGTGACTTCACTTTGTCCTTGCTCTCAATTCTGTATTCCATAGGTGCCTATCCTATCACATGGAAGGCTTCATCAAGCCCTAAAATAGGTTATAGGGGCAGCTCCTTTATATTTACTTTGCTTACACGGAAATATAAAAGACCAGGTCATTCTACAAGGTTCTGTTTAGTTTTCCAAAAACAAACCTGAACCTCAGGGTTAGTGACACTGACCTTGGTGCCATAACTAATCTCTTCCTAGTCACACGTGTTAGAAACTTACATGAGAAAGTGTAGTTCTTGTGGCTTAAGTTGCTAATCCACCTGACAGAATTAAATTCCTTACAAACACATGAAATTCTAACCATTTGTAGTTCAGTGGTCATAACTTCTCCTTTGCCAAGTGTTTTTAACTTTTTTCCAGAGCACCTGAAATCTCAAATGTTATTTGTGGGTCACACCACTGGGTTTCAGTCTTTGGACTAAGGCACAAACTCACAGGCTCTCAAAAAGAGACTTATGGCTCTCACATTATAGCTAGGATCTGTAGCCTCACTACTTACTGATCTATCTGCCTGGGAAGACATATCTATGGCCTCCATGAAAGACCACTGTGATGACTTTACCACATATTGCATACCTTTTTTAGAGGTAGCAAATGCTTTTTCTACATGTTATTTCATTGAATTTTCTATTATGTCCATGAGGTATCAAAAAAAGGTTAATTATTCCATTTTTCGAAGAATAAACTGTTTATTTAAGGTGAAGACATTCCCAAGGTTACAAATAGTAAATGAGAAGGTAGACATGAGCACATTTCTTCTGGCTTCAGCATCAGGACTCTCCCTTCTTCCCAACTCAGGCTTCTCAGGGAGGAGGGTTCAGGTGCATCAGTGGCATGGAAGGAGAGAGAAAGGCAGTTGTATTGGAAGGGTACAAGGTAAGAGATGTAGGGTCAACGTTTTTGTCATGCCTAGGAGTGAGATCTGGACACTGAAGAAGCCAAAAACTGTTTCCAAAAGACTGAAGAGTGTATTCCACGCTCCAGATCTGAGCACAATGCTGCGCATGTGTAGAGGTGAGGAGAACCAGGACGGGAGGGTGGATGTGGGACTCCTGTGGTGTCAGCGACTAAATTGGGGAGCTGGTATAGTTTCAAAGAGAGGATAGAAAGGAGGAGGGTATTCAGAGAAGGAGGGATATTGCTGAGAGAGATGTGGTTATATCTAAGGGGGAATGGCGAGGTGCCTAGTTCATCATCTCTTTCACCAGTTCATAGCCTCACAGGGCTCCCCTCTGCTGGCCCTACTCCAGAGAAGAGATAGGTATTGGTGCTTAATCATTTGCTTCCAATCAACATCACTGACTCTCTTATCGTTTCAGAGCTAACACATGTCCAGTGCTACTGGGGTAAGAAAAAGTTACTGGTTCTTTAAATCCCTGTGTTCTACTCCCCTTTCAGAAACTTGTGATTTCAGTGTGATTTCATGACCTTAGCTCCATGTGTTTATATATATAATATTATATATTTCTATATATATTTTAGAATATATATATATGAAATACATTTCTCCAGTGTTTTACCCCCTCCCCAATCCATCAATACAAGCTCTACCTAGTCACTTCCCACTTTCCCTCTTCACAATGTCACCAGATAAACCTATCCCATATTTTTCACCTGATCTTACAATTTTTATTTTTTTTCTGCAGTGGACATCACACTGAATCCAATCAACTTAAATTTAAACCTTGTCCTTTCAGAAGATCAGAGACAAGTGATGTCTGTGCCAATTTGGCCTGTTAAGTATACTAATTATGGTATCTTGGGCTCCCAATATTTCTCTTCAGGGAAACACTACTGGGAAATAGATGTGTCCAAGAAGACTGCCTGGATTCTGGGGGTATACTGTAGAACACGTTTCCGTAATATAAAGTTTGGTGTTAGACAAGGCACAGTTCATCGGAATGTTTACTCCAGATACAGACCTCAATGTGGCTACTGGGTTATTGGGTTACAGAATAAATTTGAGTATAAGGCCTTTGAGGAGTCTTCTACATCTCATCCCATGGTCTTGACTATTTCCATGGCTGTTCCTCCCCATCGTGTTGGGGTTTTCCTAGACTATGATGCAGGCATTGTCTCATTTTTCAATGTCACAAACCATGGGTCACTCATCTACAAATTTTCTAAATGTTGCTTTTCTCAGATTGCTTATCCATACTTCAATCCTTGGAACTGTCCAGGCCCCATCATCCTGTGTCCACCATGTTCCTGAACCTTCTTAGCCCCTCACCCACTTCTGTGTAAAGCCTCTTGTCCTGGGGCTCATCTACACCTGAGCTTACCTGCACCCTTCCGAACACCTCGTCCTTCCTTTCTCCTTTTATTATAGAATGTTTTTGTGCAATGCTTTTCTGCATGTATTGAAATGAACATGCAACTTTTACCCTTTTGTTTCTCATTTAATTCAACTACCTTTATAGTTTTGTTATTATTGTATTTTAGTAGTTATTCTGTGGTTTATGCCTATGTTGTTAGTACCTTGATTTTTTTTCACAGATTATTGAGGTTCTGTTCATCATTTTCATATTGGATAATTTACATTAATCTACTTTTAAGTTCACTTAGTCTTTCGTAATCCTGCATTTCTCTTAAGCCAGTCCTAGATCATTTTTTTGAGTGATTGCAGCTCTTAGTTTTAGTATTTCAATTAACAAAACTATTTTTGTTTTTTGACATTTCCTATTTGCTCATTATTATAAGCATATTTTCTTTCATAGCCTTTACCCTAGATATGAGAGCTGCTGCAAAGTCCTTGTCTTCCTTGTTGTAAGTCCTTATTGTAAATATGACTTCTGCATTATCTTGAAATTGATCTCCATTGATTGCCTTTGTTCTTGAGTATGGACCATGTTCGTTTCTTTGTATGTTAAACAATTTTAACATGTATCTAAAATTCCCCAGGGGGAATTGTGAATGAGATGTAAAGATTCTGGATTCTGTTTATTTTTCTGAAGAATATTTTTTTTCAGGCATTTGGTTGAACTTAAATTTGAAATTGTCCCCTGAATTTTGCAGAAGCTGAAATCTCTGGTCAGTTCTTTTAGCTCTATTTGGGCTGCTTGGTATCAGCCTCAAACATGTGTATTTCAGAGAGTTGCTCAGTGTGTATGTACAATTTGAGATTTCCTCCTCTGGATCTCTCTTTTACAGACATTCTCCTACCATTTTTCAGCTGTTGTGATAGCTCCAAATCATTCTTCTTGCTCTTCAAGCTAATAAGTCTGTATGCCGCTGAGTTTTAACTGTCCCACTCACTACCAGTTGAGTTTTGCTTTCAAATAAAAAGCCATAAAACCAGAAAACTCCTCCAGTAGTATTACCTTCTTCCAATTGTCTATTACACTCTAGGTTCTAAGTGTTTTGTCAGTCTCTAGTGCCTTCATCTTTTTGTTTGTTTTGCTTTGTTTTTATAATTGTTCAAGGTTTATAGTGTTGATATATAGGTTATGGATGCTGCTTTGTTAGAATATATACCTCCGTTTATAGAAACAGAACTTTAGTTTTTCTTGCTCTGGATATTCTAAGCTATAAGTTCAATCGCTGAATTTTAGTGGTTTGTTTTTCCTTTTTTGTTATACAAACCACCAGATTTTATTCAAAGTGATTATACCATTTTGCATTCCCACAAATTCAGAAAGGGAACAATGATGGTATAGGGTTGGGTGGTCAATGCCAAGATATTAAGAATAGGTGTATTTTTCGGTATATTTGGTTGAAACTGAAGAGGATTGGAGAGCTGAGTCCGACTGTGTGATGAGCACAGCATAGTGGTATTGATTGCAGTGTTCAGAAGGAAAGAGCTTCCTTAGCCAAAGACCTCTTCTCTGTCTGGTACTTCTTCCTTTCCCAATCCCATCTAATGGATATTAGATCCATTGTTTTACTCCTCTTCCTCTGAATTGCTTAACTGACCCCACATCCTTGGTTAGTATCTTGGGACTCTCTTATGAGAGCTGGGAGAAATCAGTGAGGAAATCAGGTCTCGTCAAGATACCTGAAAACTTGAGCAAGCAGAATACTTGGATTTACACTTCTCTCACCATACACATTTTTTTCACCAGAGCTGAATATGTTGGTATGTTCCATATTCCAGCTCAGTATATTCTGAGTTACAGGGAAAAATAAATCTTTCTTAGGGCTCTGTATTTTCCCTCCAGTCATTACATCTCCTACTTGGAGAGGAATATAATGAAATATCCCCCCCTTTGACCCATGGATTTTTAACACTTTCCCATTTGAGAAAACCTTAGGGTAAAGCAAGAGTTAACGCAGTTAAAGTGTGTTGGTGGAGACATTAAACACCAATCCAAGTAAACCTTAGGAAGAAAACAGGAGATAAAAAGGTTGATTAGTATTTGTCAAAAAGTGGAAACAACCCAAGAGTCCATCAATGGAATAATAGAGTGGAATACTACTCAGACATTAAAAGAGTGAAATCTTGCCATTCAACAACACAGATGAACCTTGAGGGTATTATGCTAAGTGAAATAAGTCAGAGAAAGACAAATAACATAATGATTTCATCATATGTGTAATCTGAAAAACAAAACAAGCAAACAACACAAAACTCATTGATACAGAGATCAGATTGGTGGTTGCTAAAGGCCAGGGTTTGGGAGTGGGCAAAATGGGTGAAGGGGATCAAGAAGTAAAGCCTTCCAGTTATAAAATAAGTCATGGGGGTATAATGTATAGCATGGTGACTATAGCAAATAGTATTGTGCTGCAAATTTGAAATTCCTACAAAAGTAAATCTTGAATGTTCTCATCACAGGAAAAACATTTTTTTCATGACTTCCTATGGTGATAGATAGTAACTTGATTTACGGTGGTGAATGTTTCACAATGTATACAAATGTTGAATCATTATGTTGTACACCTAAACGAATATAATGTATGTTAACTGCACTTCAATAAAAAATTATCTAAGGGGAATCATATGTATGTTATTGATACCAGAAGAATAACTGAATTTTTTTTAAAGATTTTATTTATTTACTTTACAGGGAGAGAAAGAGAGCAAGCACAGGCAGGGGGACTGGGAGAGGGAAAAGCAGGCTCCCCGCTGAGCAGAGAGCCCAATGCAGGACTCAATCCCAGGACCCTGGGATCATGACCTGAGCCAAAGGCAGATGCTTAACCGACTGAGCCACCCAGGGATCCCAAGAATAACTGAATTATACGATGTGACAGCAACTGTGTTCACAGCAAGAATGGTAGACTGGAAGTATGATTTATCATCAAGATGTTCCATTCAATTAAAAATATTTTTATAGTTACATATCTGCATATCTATCTATCAGACCTTATATGCAATAACTTCTAATAGATTTAAGGCAATAAGCAACAGAGTAGAGAAAGTCCCTCCCTGACTTCATGAAACTTACAATTGGAGGTGCAGTGTGAGGTGGGGTGATTACCACTGATAAGATCAGTAATAACACTAGGTTTCCCACTGCACTTCTCTCTCTTGCCTTCCACTCATGCATTTTCATTTTCCAATTCAAGGAATAGTGACCGAGTCTTCACCTCTAGGAGTAACCCTAGTTTTAGAAACGACTTCCAGAAAAATTCTAGCAAAGAAAGCCCTAGACAAAGAGCCTATGAAGTGTCCATGGGCCACAGCCCAGGCTTCTGGACCAATTCCGCACTGAAAGCAGCAGAGAAGAGCACTAGGCCTGGCTCTGCTCAGGGATGAAAACGATACTTTGAGGAAGACAATAAGGGAAAGTCAGAAAGTTCTTTGAAGCTTAACAATTTAATGTTTCAGTATAATAATGTTGGATTTCTGCATGACGTTCCATAGAAATTCCTAGCTCCCTGTCCTCCCTAGGTTTGATGGTTGCTCTGCTTTGCAGTTTCTTTGGTGTTTTCTAGTCTTACAAGATTTGCAAGTTCAAACTCCGGGATCTACTGCAGTTCACAAACAAACAACAGAAAAACTAACCTTGCCCATCCTTCTTCTTGGGCCATTTCTGCCACCCAGAAACTGAGCTCACCTGGGAGACAGCTAGAAGAGCATGTAGGAGGAATTTCCATAAGGGGCATCTTGACAACTTTTAATAGAACAAAATGAGGGGCACCTGGGTGGCTCAGTAGGTTGAGCATCCTACTCTTGATTTCAGCTCAGGTCTTGATCTCAGGGTTCAAGCAACAACAGCAACAAAATGAGATGCATGCTTGTTGTTAATAGTATGAAGAGACATCAGAAGAAGTGGCATGATAACAAGATCCTAAGACCTATGAGAATAGGGGCTAAAGTAGGGGAACTTCTTTATTTAACTACCTCTTTTCCTGTGAAAGACAGCCGCACCCCAGATTGACCCACTCAGATGGCAGATCCCACTCAAAGCTCTTTTTTTTAAACCATGACTCCCTCCTATCTGACTAGGTCTTATGGGATTATGGTTGACTTCTTAAACACTATCACCTCTACAATATCCTCCTTGTGCCCTTACCTCTACTGCGTCACTGTTTGGCATGTATCCTTAGAAACCGCACATTTCACCTGTCTGTCACTGTCATTACCACAATTCACCTGTGCCACTTAACACAGAACTTTAGAATTGTTGGGGTTCTCCAGAGAAACAGAACCTACACGAAGGGGTTTATTATAAACAACTGGCTCACATGATTATGGGGGCTGAGAAGTTCCAGGATCTGGCACCTGCAAAGTGCAGACCCAGGAAAGCTGGTGGTGTCATTCAGTCCGAGACCAAAGGCTGCAGAGCCAGGGTGGGTGACGGTGTGAATTCCAGTCCAAGGACAGGAGAGGACCTATATCCCAGCTCAAGCAGGCAAACAGGAAACAAAAGGGATGAATTCCTCTTTTCTCTTAGGCCCTCAACAAATCAGATGATGCCCAGCAACACTGGGGAGTGCAATCTACTGAGTCCACAGACTCAAATGCTAATCTCATCTAGAAACAACCACCTCCCAGACCCAGAAATGTTTAATGGGGGCAACTCGTGGCCAGTCAAGTTGATAACACAAAATTAATCTTCACAGTGATTTTCCTGCTTCATTTTTATTATGCTAAGATTATAGGGATTATATGTTAAATAATGTTAGATAGCATTGCCCAACAAATGACACCATCCACAGTTTCATCTTCCCAGCATCTTTAGCAGAAGTGTCATTTTGGCCATACTGAATCCAAATTCTGAAGGTCAGGCTCACTGTGCTGCCACTCCGTGAGAGCCACTGACTGTCCCACTGAGGGACTTGCAGATTTGCATAGCCCTTCCCTCTCACACACCTAATAGGATACACCCCTGCCAGATTCACTTACTCTAGCAAATGGATTCAGAACAGTAGAGACCATGTTCCTAAGGCTGCTTCAGGGCAGCCTTCAGTGTGGGTCCCTCCTTGCGGTAAAGGAGGAATTTTATTCCTTCCACACGACAGCTCATTTGTAGGGAAAAAAGGCTAGGCGCATTTGTGTGAAATTATATTGCTCAGGTAAGCCTAGTGCTCCAAAGGACTGATTACCTTGAAAGGACAGGAGAGCAGCATCTAGGAGTGGACGGAAAGGAATGAGTGTAACCACTGGCTCATCTGGCCCCCCGCACAAAGCCTTGCCACCTCTTAGGGATCTCCCATTGGTCTGCAGCCTCTCTCCTCCTTTCCTGCCCAAACCAGAGATTTTAACTTTCATTTTCACTTAGCACCTCCGGATCTTGGTGGAGATCGGCCCCTGGTTTGCTGAGAGAATCCTGACCACATTCCCTCCCTGGCCTGCCTCCACTCTTCTCCAAGGAGGCACGGCTTCTCACCTGGTGTCTGAAGGTGTGTGGAGTGGTTTGCAGAGGGCAGAGGTGGGGAGAAGACCTGAATTTTGGAGTGAGTTGAACGTGTGTTCAGGCAGCTGCTGTGAAGGGTGGAGGGGGGTAACGCTCAGCTTGCAAGCTTCCGGCTGAGACTGAGCGGGGGAGGGATATGGGCCGGGGAGGTTGGGGGAGGGGCAGTCCCCAAAGAAGGGAGGTTTGAAGGCTTGAAAGGCTTTGTTCTTTCATGGAGGGACCATTATTTCTACAGGCTGAATCTACCCTGGAGATTCTCCTTCCCATTCTATAATTTTGAATTGCACCTTGCTGAGGACAAGCCAGAATCCTCTGTTTTTCAGAGGTAGAAATTTCCTTCTCTCCACAGCAAGAGCAAAGGCAGAGGGATCTTTGAATCCTAACATTTTAATGCCCATCCCGTAACAATGTAGCATTTCTGCATGACTCTATGTAAATTCTCATCAACTTGGTCTGTCTTGTGCTTAGGAGCTTAATGGGGTGACAGCTGCAAGCCCCAATCACTTACCTTACTCATCCCTCTCCCCCGGCCGTATCTGCCACCCAGAAACAGAGGCCACCTGAGAGATCAGGAGCAAGGGGAGCACTTTCCAAATGTGGTATCTTTTCTAACTTTTGGGGTTTTTTTTAATTTAACTTTTTTTATTATGTTCAGTTAGCCACTGTATAGTACCTCAGTTTCTGATACAGTGTTCAATGTTTCATTAGTTGCATTAGTGCTCATCACAACACCTGCCCTCCTTAATACCCATCACCCAGTTACCCCATTCCCCCACCCCCCTCCCTTCTGTAACCCTCAGTTTGTTTCCCAGAGTCCAGAGTCTCTCATGGTTCATCTCCCTCTCTGATTTCTCCCCCTTCAGTTTTCTGTCCCTTCCCCTATGGTCCTCCATGCTATTTCTTATGTTCTACTTGTGAGTGAAACCGTATGATAATTGTCTCTTTCTGCTTGATTTATTTCACTTAGCATAGTCTCCTCCAGTTCCATCCATGTCAGTGCAAATGGTGGGTATTCATCCTTTCTGATGGCTGAGTAATATTCCATTGTATATATGGAGCACATCTTCTTTATCCATTCATCTGTTGAAGGGCATCTCAGCTCCTTCCACAGTTTGGCTATTGTGGACATTGCTGCTATGAACATTGGGGTGCATATGGCCCTTCTTTTCACTACATCTGTATCTTTGGGGTAAATATCTAGTAGTGCAATTGCTGGGTCATAGGGTAGCTCTATTTTTATTTTTTTTAAAGATTTTATTTATTTATTTGAGAGAGAGAGAGAATGAGAGAGAACACATGAGAGGGGGGAGGGTCAGAGGGAGAAGCAGACTCCCTGCCGAGCAGGGAGCCCGATGCGGGACTCGATCCTGGGACTCCAGGATCATGACCTGAGCCGAAGGCAGTTGCTTAACCGACTGAGCCACCCAGGCGCCCTGGGTAGCTCTATTTTTAACATCTTGAGGAACCTCCATACTGTTTTCCAGAGTGGCTGTATCAGCTTGCATTCCCACCAACAGTGTAAGAGGGTTTCCCCTTTCTCCACAACCTCTCCAACATTTGTTGTTTCTTGCCCTGTCAGTTTTTGCCATTCTAACTGGTGTAAGGTGGTATCTCAATGTGATTTTGATTTGAATTTCCCTGATGGCTAATAATGATGAACATTTTTTCATGTGTCTGTTAGCCATTTGTATGTCTTTGGAGAAGTGTCTGTTCATGTCTTCTGCCCATTTTTTGACTTGATTATTTGTTTTTGAGTGTTGAGTTTGAAAAGTTCTTTATAGATCTTGGATACCACCCCTTTATCTGTAATGTCATTTGCAAATATCTTCTCCCATTCTGTCAGTTGTCTTTTGATTTTGTGGACTGTTTCCTTTGCTGTGCAGAAGCTTTTTATCTTGATGAAGTCCCAAAAGTTCATGTTTGCTTTTGTTTCCCTTGCCTTTGGGGATGTGTCTTGAAAGAAGTTGCTGTGGCCAATGTCAAAGAGATCACTGCCTATGTTCTCTTCTAGGATTTTGATGGATTCCTGTCTCGCATTGAGGTCATTCATCCATTTTGAGTTTATCTCTGTGTATGGTGTAAGAGAATGGTCGAGTTTCATTCTTCTGTATGTAGCTGTCCAATTTTCCCAGCACCATTTATTGAAGAGACTGTCTTTTTCCACTGGATATTTTTTCCTGATTTGTCAAAAATTAGTTGACCATAGAATTGAGGGTCCATTTCTAGAGTCTCTATTCTGTTCCATTGGTCTATATGTCTGTTTTTGTGCCAGTACCATGCTGTCTGTCTTGGTGATCACAGCTTTGTAATATAGCTTGAAGTCAGGCAGTGTGATGCTCCCAGCTTTGTTTTTCTTTTTCAACTTTTCCTTGGCAATTTGGGGTCTTTTCTGGTTCCATACAAATATCAGGATTGTTTGTTCCAGCTCTTTGAAAAATGATATTGGTATTTTGATCGGGATGGCATTGAAAGTATAGATTGCTATGGGCAGCATAGACATTTTCACAGTGTTTATTCTTCCAATCCATGAGCAGGGATTGTCTTTCCATCTCTTTGTGTCTTCTTCAGTTTCTTTCATAAGTGTTCTGTAGTTCCTAGAGTATAGATCCTTTACCTCTTTGGTTAGGTTTATTCCGAAGTATCTTATGGTTTTTGGTGCTATTGTAAATGCAATAAATTCCTTAATTTCTCTTTCTACAGTTACATTGTTAGTGTATAGAAAAGCAACTGTATTCTGTGCATTGATTTTGTATCTTGCCACATTTCTGAATTGCTGTATGATGAGTTCTAGTAATTTGGGGGGGAATTCTTTTGGATTTTCTACATAAAGTACCATGTCATCTGCGAAGAGAGAGTTTGACTTCTTTGCCAATTTGAATGCCTTTTATTTCTTTTTGTTGTCTGATTGCTGTTGCTAGGACTTCTAGTACTATGTTGAAAAATAATGGTGAAAGTGGGCATCCCTGTCAAGTTCCTGACCTTAAGGAAAAAGCTCTCAGATTTTCCCCATTGATAATGATATTCGCTGTGGGTTTTTCATAGATGATTTTTATGATATTGAGGAATGTTCCCTCTATCCCTACACTTTGAAGCAGGAAAGGGTGCTGTATTTTATCAAATGCTTTTTCTGCATCAATTGAGAGGATCACATGGTTCTTATCTTTTCTTTTATTAATGTGCTCTATCATGTTGATTGATTTGCAAATGTTGAACCACCCTTGCATCCCAGGAATGAATCTCACTTGGTCATGGTGAATAATTCTTTTAATGTACTGTTGGATCTTATGGCTAAGATCTTGTTGAGTATTTTGGCATCCATATTTATCAGGGATATTGGTCTATAATTCTCCTTTTTGATGTGATCTTTGTCTGGTTTTGGGATCAGGATAATGCTGGCCTCATAGAATGAGTCTGGAAGCTTTCTTTCTGTTTCTATTTTTTGAAACAGCTTTAGTAGAATAGGTATGATTTCTTCTTTAAACGTTTGGTAGAACTCCCCTGGGAATCCATCTGGCCCTGGACTCTTGTTTTTTGGGAGGTTTTAGATCACTGCTTCAATTTCGTTACTGGTTATTGGTCAATTCAGATTGTCAATTTTTTCCTGCTTCAGTCTTGGTAGTTTATAGGTTTCCAGGAAGGCATCCATTTCTTCCAGGTTGCTTAATTTGTTGGCCTATAATTACTGGTAATTATTTCTAATAATTGTTTTTATTTCCTTGGTGTTAGTCGTGATTCCTCCCCTTTCATTCATGATTTTACTAATTTGGGTCCTTTCTCTTTTCTTTTGGATAAGTCTGGTCAGAGGTTTATTGATCTTGTTAATTATTTCAAAGAACCAGCTTCTAGTTTCATTGATCTGTTCTACTGTTTTTCTGGTTTCTATTTCATTTATCTCTGCTCTAATCTTTATTATTTCTCTTCTGCTTGGTTTAGGTTTTATTTGCTGTTCTTTCTCCATTTCCTTTAAGTGTAAGATTAACTTGTGCATTTGGGATTTTTCTAATTTTATGAGAGAGGCTTGGATGGCTATGTATTTCCCCCTTAGGACCGCCTTTGCAGTATCCCATAGGTTTTGGACCGATGTGTTTTCATTCCCATTGGTTTCCATGAATTGTTTAAGTTCTTCTTTAATTTCCTGGTTGACCTAATCATTCTTTAGCAGGATGCTCTTTAGCTTCCAAGTGTTTGAATTCTTTCCAAGTTTTTTCTTGTGATTGAGTTCTAGTTTCAAAGCACTGTGGTCTGATAACATGCAGGGGATAATTTCAATCTTTTGGTATCAGTTGAGACCTGATTTGCGACCCAGTATGTGGTCTTTTCTGGAGAAAGTTCCATGTGTGTTCAAGAAGAATGAGTATTCTGTTCTTTTAGGGTGGAATGTTCTGTATATATCTATGAAGTCCATCTGGTCCAGTGTGTCATTCAAAGCTTGTGTTTCTTTATTGATCTTCTGCTTAGGCGATCTGTCTATTGCTGAGAGTGGAGTGTTGAGGTCTCCTACTATTAAAGTATTATTATCAATAGGTTTCTTTATTTTGGTTAATAGTTGGTTTATGTAGTTGGCTGCTCCCATGTTGGGGGCATAGATATTTACAATTGTTAGATTTTCTTGTTTAGTAGACCCTTTAAGAATGATATAGTGTCCTTCTGTATCTCTTACTACAGTGTCTACCTTAAAATCTAATATGTCTGATACAAGAATTGCTACCCCAGCTTTCTTATGAGGTCCGTTGGCATGAAAAATGGTTCCCCATCCCCTCGCTTTCAGTCTGGTTGTACCTTTAGATTCAAAATGAGTCTCTTGTAGACAGCATATGGATGGGTCATGTCTTTTTATCCAATCTGCAACCCTGTGCCTTTCATGGGAGCATTTAGGTCATTCACATTGAAAGTGATTATTGAAAAATACGGTTTTATTGCTATAACGTTGCTTGTGAAGTCCTTGTTTCTATAGATTGTCTCTGTAAATTTCTGGTCTATTACACTTGGGGTCTTTCTTCTTTTATAGAACCCCCCCTTAATATTTCTTGCAGGGCCGGCTTGGTGGTCACATATTCTTTCAGTTTCTGCTGGTCTTGGAAGCTCTGCATCTCTCCATCCATTCTAAATGACAGCCTTGCTAGATAAAGTATTCTTGGCTTCATGTTCTTCTCATTTAGTACCCTGAATATGTTTTGCCAGCCCTTTCTGGCTTGCCAGGTCTCTGTGGATAGGTCTGACGTTATTCTGATGTTCCTCCCTCTGTATGTAAGGAATCTCTTCCCCCTAGCCAGTTTCAAGATTGTTTCCTTGGATCTAAGATTTGTGAATTGTACTCTTATATGTCAGGGTGTCGGTCTTTTCTCATTGATCTTGGGAGGGGTCCTCTCTGCCTCTTGGACACAAATGCTTGTTTCCTTCCCCAGATTAGGAAAGTTCTCAACTATGATTTGCTCAGATATGCCTTCTAGTTCTCTCTCTCTCTTCACCCCCTCAGGGATCCCAATAATTCTGACATTGGGACGTTTCATGGCATCATTGATCTCTCTAAGTCTGTTCTCATGGGCTTCCAGCTGCCTATCCCTATCCTCCTCAGCTTCCTTCCTATCAGCTTATCTTCTAGATCACTAACTCGTTCTTCTGCCTCATTTACCCTGGTTGTTAGAGAATGAGTTAAACTGCATCTCATTCATAGCATTTTTAAGTTCGGCCTGATTAGATCTCATTTCTGCACTTAGAGATTCTATATTGTCACTAATGCTTTTTTCAAGCTTAGCTATTGACTTCATGATTGCTACTCTGAAGTCTATCTTTAACATCTTGCTTATTTCCATTAGATAATGTAGCAGAGGACATTGTCTCTGGTTCTTTTCTTTGCCGGGAGTTCCTCCTCCTAGTTATTCTGTTGAGGGATGGTTGAGGGCATGTACAGAGTCCAAAATATCAACCACGACCAAGCAAGACGTGCCGTAGGAAAATTCAGAGCAGTCGGAAGCCACCACCAAAAAAACAAAGTCAAAATGAAATGCAAGAATAAAATTTATAAAATTAAAAAATAAAAATAAATAAAAATTTAAAAAATTGGGGTAAGGGGAAGGGGGGCTATAATCTCTCAGTGTGGACAAAGTAGGGTGTTTCAGTTGTTCTTGGGTGTATTTTGGTCTGTTTGTTAGAAGACACTACTTCCCAAAATTACAGGGAAAGTAAAACTTGTATATGTAAAAAGGTAATATTGAATAGGGAAAAAAGGACTACAATGAAGAATGTATCTATAAAAAACATAGGTGTAAAAAAGTACAAGTTAAAAAGCTACTATGAAATATAAATTGGTATATTAAACATCTAGTTGAAATGAGAAAAAAGGTAAAAAGAAAAAACAGAAGAAACATAAAGAGAAAGAATAACAGAAAAAGAGCGTTGTATCTGAAAAATAAACAAGCCATGAGGCAATGCCTGGAGCTCAATATACTATTTTCCCCTGGTGTTGAGATTGTACAGTCTTATGGGGTCCGTGGGTTGTCGCCCTTTTGTTCTTCCAGCCTGTCTTCCAGGGGAGGGGCCTGCCATGCTGTTTCTCAGGCGACCCTGCTTGGGTGGAGTTGCCTTGCCCCCTGTCAGGGGGATGGGCTCATTGGAAACCGGTTTTTTGAGCTTTTGTTCTCTGGCGGCTTTCTGCACCTCTTCAGAGGGTCAGAGCACAAATGGCCGCACCCAAACCTCTGGCCCAGAGCAGAGAAATTGCAGTCTGCTCTCTTCACTAAACCTGCCAGGACACAGTCTCTGTTTCTGTATGCGATGCTGAAAACCTCAGCCTCCCAGGGTGCACACCCACAGTGACTCTCTCAGAGGTCATCCGAGGGGCCTGGGCTTGTCCCTGCCCTTTGTGCTTCTAAAACCTCAAGCGGCCCTGGGCTGCGTCCACACCCTCAGCTCCTGGGTCATGTCTGAGCGCTGCTCTAAAGCCCTTTCGCAGCCGCTACTGTTCTGCGGGTTTTTGCTGGGTCTCCAACACAGGACACTTTGGCATTCTGGTGTTAACAGCACTTTGCAGGAGCCAGCTTATGGTGGCTCCCACCCCCTTCTGTTTATCTTCGGATATCACCCCACAGATTCATGACTGCCCTTCCTACCTTGAGATAGGCAGTGCTTTTCTGCTTGTAGAGATCCCGATATATATTCTTAACATATCAGGCTGATTTTTGTGGGTGTTCAGAATGGCTTCATAGATATCCAGCTAAATTCAAGGGACCTGTTGAAACGGGGTCCCCTACTCCTACCTTCTCCACCTTTTCTTTCTTGTCCTTCAATATTATGATTTGGGCTTGTCCTTGATTTCTACACAATTATTATAATTTTACTCTTTCCAACTCTGCCCCCTTTTAACCTTGACAATCATACAGGGATTGGTGAACAAGAGGAACCACTGAGGTCAGGACAGATAGGAGCAAAGGAGCAGCTGTTATGGCTTTTAAACTCCTTACAAACATAGAGGAGGAGGTGACCTGCCCCATCTGCCTGGACCTCCTGAAGGAACCCCTGAGCCTGGACTGTGGCCACAGCTTCTGCAAAGCCTGCATCGCTGCAGAGAACAAGGAGTCTGTGACAAGCCAAGGAGGGAAGAGCAGCAATTGCCCTGTGTGCCAAATGGCTTTCTGCTCTGGGGAACTGCGGCCTAACTGGCATGTGGCCAAAATAGTGGAGAGGCTCCAAGAGATCAAGGTGAGCTCTGAAGAGGAGCAGAAGAGAAATCTCTGTGAGCGCCATGAAGAAAAGCTTTTGCTCTTCTGTAAGAAGGATAAGAGGGTCATTTGCTGGGTTTGCGAGCGGTCACAGGAGCACCGTGGTCACCAAACAGTCCCCATGGAGGAGGCTGTCCAGGAGTACCAGGTAAGAGACCAGGATGGAGGGAACACAGGGCAGAAAATAGAACTTGTTGAGAAATCACCACTTTGCACTCAATTTTTTATTTTTTTTATTTAATTTTATTATGTTATGTTAATCAC